ATCACTTAAAAGTTCCAAAAAGCACAAAGCAAGCATCATTCGTGCAGTAGCACTCCAATCCATGGATTAACCAAATAACATTCCAACTCACATACCACAACTCATGCTAGGAACTTCCACTCTCACTATCAGTTGCCTTATGCATGCAAATTATACACAATACATGATCAAATAGACTATCGAATAAAAGACTTTACCCTAAGACCACAACCAAACGAGGAAAAGGAAATAAAACCACATCAATCATTCTAGGGCTATATGATTTTATTCGTATATAATTTTTAAAGCATACACTTAGCGATTACTGATACCAATACATATTATCAATCTAGCATAGCATCAAATGCTCCCTAGGCTACAAGGCATCACATATCAGGCCAATCTATCATGTAATTCCTGAAAGTATCATTAGCCTCATCCTAGCATGCAATTCTCATAACATATAATCAGAACAAACATGTATGGGTATTCTGGGAATCACTTACTTGAGCTCGGCCGATTGCATACATCACACCCCCTTTGTCTTTACAAAAATTGTTGGGCTTATTGTGTTGTGTCAAATGTGTATAGTATAGGCTTGTTTTACCAAGATGGGCCTGCCCATTCTCGTGTTTAGTCCGTATCTGTCTAGCCTATATATTCCATGCATGTATCTATTAAGGTTAATGAATTTTATCGCCCTACCTAGCTCTCACAGAGAAGTTCTCGTTGAACTCTTCTAGAGCTTTGATAATCTAAGCATTCGACACCTATTTGATCATTGTTCTGTTGTTTGATTCACTTTATTTTACATAGAATTTGTTGATCTATTTTATTGTTTCTACAATTGGAATCAGATCAGGAGATAGTGTAAATCATACGCTACTCTTCTGTCGAATTCTGTTAGGGCTTTGTGTCTTTATTGGATTTGTTATTGTCATCATGATCATTTCTATCGATTATTAACAACAAATCTAAATCCTGGTTTTTACCCTAAACTCGATTATTGTTTTACACATCTGATTCTATACAAGTTTTCATGAATCTCTACATCATGCAGCACGAAGATCCTCATACTCTTTCTTTCAATCTCTCTAGTAGTATTGGATCTACAACCAGGATCCCAATCCTCTTCCCACAAGATTATGAAGTGTGGGCACTGCACTTTGAAGACTATGTTCTTGGCATTGAAGAACATGGCACTACAATATGGCAAGCTATGACACAGGATACTTACGCTCACACGGCTACGAGGAAAGTTATCAAGACTAAAGCCGAATACAATATGCTTCTTACTGAAAATACTGAAATTTCTCAAGATGTAAAGGATAAGCTGTTGAGCAACATTAAGGCGATGGGAATAATAAGGTTTGCTCTACCCCTAGACACTTTTCGTCTGGTGAGTTCATGTGAGACAACTAATGAGATATGGGATAGGTTAAAAGAGCTTTATTCAAGTGACGCAGATCTGGAACACTCCGTACAAACATTACTCTTGTCAGAGTTTGGAGCCTTTGTTCAAAAGCCTGATGAAAAACTAGATCATACATTCAATCATTTTAATCATATGTTGAGTAGCGATCATAGGGCGTGATTTGAAATAGCGGTTTTTACGGTGAGATAGCAGTGGGATAGCGGTTATATATATATATATATATATATATATATATATATATATATATATATATATATATATATATATATACTATCTTATAAAAGAAATCTCATTATTTCTATAAATAGATTGAATATAATAATAATATTTTTTAGACGTTCAAATCATTAAGCTAATAGTACAAGTATTCATCAATAAAATAATATTAAATTTTAAACTTAAATATCATTTATATTAAATTGTACAAAACATAATTCAATATGTACAAACATTCCGAGTTGACTTGGTCCTCTTCAAATTTAACTATCTTTTGAATTCCAATTTAATTCGCCTAACTTTGAGTTCAAACGGGTGCATTATTTGTCACCCATCCTTCATCTCAATATATTCTTTCTACTAAACTTCTCCATGTATCTCCGACTTTTCTCATCATCTCTCTCCCTTTTTTATCTCCTCCTTCTTGAGACTACAAGAAAGGTTAAGAATAACCGATACTGTTTTTTTATTATTCGTTTTGTTGTATTCCAACAATAACATTAACATATATGCTTAGGTATGTGAAGAAGAACAAGTTTCGGTTTTTTGATTTTGTGTTTTTCCGGCAGGAAACAAGAATCTGACATCGTTGCTATTGATTTTTCATTTGGACTATTCAGGTTTGCGTTTCTTTTAATTTTTTTTAATCTTTTTGTCTTTTAAACCAACCCAGAAACAGAAGATTACTTCATCTCCCATCTATCACTATCCCCAATTTCGCCAGGTAGTCTTTTTATCCATCTTCATCCTTCCCCAAATGATTTTCAATAGCAACGATGTCGGACCAATTGGTCATGTTTTCGATTTAATTTCATGTTTTTGTTGGTTGAAGCTTGGAAAGTAACATAAACCCATATTGATGTGCTTGGTGATTGGAAATGAACAGACTTGCAGGTCTTTTGTAGAGAAAAGGTGGAAAAAAAACTCAAATATTTATGCATTTTATGTTTCTCATTTTATATGATTCAAATCTCACCATTTCGAAAACTAGATGTCACTAATTTTTGTTTATTTATCATGGTTATTTCTATATTTAACACATGGTATTGTTGGTTTTGCTTATGATTCAATTTGTGAAAAAAATCATATTTTTATGTCTGTTAGGTTTATCATTTTTTATAATTCAGATCTCACTTTCAATTTGTGATTTTCAGATCTTGGTTTTGACTGCTTGCGTCATATAATCTGAAGAAAGAAGTCATAGATTTTGTTTTCTGTAAATGTTGTTGATTCAGGTTGTGGTTTATGGCTTTATGTTGTTATTTAAGGTAACCTACATAATACGTTTTACATTTGTCATTGATTCTACATGTATGCTTTCTGAACTTCATCAATCTTTCTAATGACATTTCTAAATGGTTTTTGTTGTTCTTCGATTCACCATCTTCTCACAAGTAAACACTCATTTCTACTTTATGTTTTGATCTGTCTCACCGACCTCGTCAAGTAAGGTCTCACACAAATTATTACCAATTTTAGGTTTGGAATGACCCCTCTCTGATCTATTTTGGCTAAGGAACAGGTAATCCATGTTTATTGTCTCCTTTTTCTTGCAACAAATCCATAATGGATCACCATTAACCACTGTTTGTTTGTTTTTTGTATTTATTTGGAATTTCTTTGCATGTTTTAGGGTTTAAAGACTGATTATGAAGTAGGCAATCACCGCCATCAGTCTTCTTCCATCTTTGGTACGCACCCTAACAACTCTACCTCTTGATGCAACAATCTACAAGTTAATTTCCCATGGTTTGTCATTCCCTTTTCCTCTACCATTTTTTTCATATGGGTTGTCTTTGGCTTGTAGGTAAATGTTTCTGTACACCTTCAAACCATCCTTGCTTTTTTTCCCCTTGAATCTATGATAGTTACACATAAGATTTTATTGATTTGGTATTTAGGTAACTTCATTTTTTTATTGTTTCCTGATTGTTTATTTTTGGTTTACTTTAACTTAATGTCACAACTTATATTTGCTACTACAACTTAGTGACTAGCATCAATAAACAAAGCCTCCTTATATTTGTTGTGTATAGATTTTTGATAACTTGCATTTGGTGGTGGAACAAAGCTTCTGAATATATTTGATGCTTTGAAACGAAATGTGGTGAACATATTTTTTGTTTTTGATTTATTTTTGGAAAAAAAAGTTGACTACAACAAAATAACTTGCTTTTAAAAACAATGGGATCAATGTTTTCTTAAAAGAAAGTTTACTACAAGTAGAATATGGATTCTCATGAAGCAATCTTCACATAGAACAAAAGGTACTTTCATGTACTCCTTATAGACTTGGATGTTTGATTCTCTTTTAATGATTAGTGCATTATATTTCTCCATTTTCATATGTGTTCATCTATATTTACCATATTTGAAACTTCATCCTTGTATGAAGGTTACACTTTGCAAATGTTGAGAAAATTCAATAGAGAAAAGGGTTTGTGAGTTGTGAAGCTTCTTGAAATTGAATATGCCTTGTATTTTTATTCATATAGTAAAAAATGTATAAAGATGTATGCACTTCCTTAAAGTACGATGTGTTTTAATCAATGTCTAAATAAAAAATGAATATTTAATACTTGATAGCAATTATATATGGAAACCTCACTATATTTACATTTTCATAATTTTCCAGCCTAACATCATTATTTTGCTTGAAGACATGAAATCCATGAACAAGTGTCCAAGTTAATGTTTTAACAAATGACAAATGGCGAGTTCTTGATTGTAGTAAAAAATTGGGCACTTATATATATATATATATATATATATATATATATATATTATATATATATATATATCGATATATATATATATATGGAAAAGATCAAATGAGAACACCTAAAAGGTTGAGAACGCGAGAACAAGTATATTCATTTGTAATTTCATGTATTCATTTGTGGGGAAATGATAAATTTTTACGCACAATCAACATGAATATGCTTTTTCTCTTCAATTGAAATTAAAGGAGTAAAAATTTATCATTTCTCCACAAATGAATACATGGAATCGCAAATGAATATACTTTGTTCTCGCGTTCTCAACCTTTTTGGTGTTTACATTTGATCCTACTCCTATATATATATATATCTATATATATATATATATATATATATATATATATATATATATATATCTATATATTATTTTTTCGTAATTATTAAAATTTTTAGAATAAACTTAAACATTATTTACTTTTAAAAGAAACAAATACAAATAAAACAAAAGAAATGAGCCTTTTTTTTTTTTTTTTTTTTTTTGTCTCAAAGGCTTAGATTTTAGATTTTAAGGCCAATTTTAATGAGAGTATGACCACCTGAAATATAATATACAAACCCAATTTGATTTTATTAAAACCCTAGCCGCTCTTCCTAGTTCCTCTCTTCATCATTCTCTCTCATGATGAGTGACGTCAGATATCAAGGTACGCTTTTCCTACTACTTCTCTTTCTCGACCAAGACCAAAACGGAAGAGCTGAAGCGAACTTAGACCCAACAACAAATAGCGGTGCTACAACCGCTAAAACGCAATGCATATCGCGGCCAAATAGCGGCCAATCTCGACGATATTAGCGGGAACGATATTTAGGTCCGCTATACAGAACCGCTATTTAGGCTAGGGCCGCGAACCGAGATTGTGAAGCTTATGTGTTTTCAGAAATAACCACATCATTGTTTGTTATCGTTCTATTTGCAGTTTGAAGCTGTGAATCTCTCTTTCTCTCTCTCTCTCTCTCTCTCTCTCTCTCTCTACACCAATGGAGTTTTGGGGTAACGAATCATCTCTCTTTGTTTCTATTTCTTTATCTGTTTCGATGAAATATTTGGACCTTCTTTTGGTTTTAATAATGATGCAAATCTTCACTCTGATTTACCTTGTTTTGATATTCATCGTTTTCTTGTAACATTGATTGATTCAGGTGTTGCGGTCAAAGGCAGGCAATCTTTTCATGTAAAGATTGGGGAACGCGGTTTTGTGAATCTTTCTCGGGCTTCACTCGGTTCTGAAGCACAAGAGCCTGTTATTGTGTACTTAACTGTCAAGAAAAAAAAACAATTACTTGCAACTCTCAATCCTATGTTGCTGCCAGAAGAAGAGTTGAACTTGACATTTGTCCAAGACTTCGAAATAAGTCACAACCTCAGAAATGGCAGTGTTTTTTTCTTTGGAAGCAAAAATAAACACACACCAAAGAAGGTAGAATTTTTGTGTTGATATTTTAGCTTTACCTTGGTGTATATTTGTATATGTTAAAACAACAAACATGTAATGATTATATAATGTGAATTTGTTGACAGGAAGAAGGAAGTAATGTGGAGAAAGCGAGGGTTGCAGCATATTTTAATAAAGAGTAATGAGGGAAATTAAAATAGAGGATTTTAAATGAGTTTCTTTTCATTTGTCAATGACCTTAATTTTAAAGAGGGGTGAGTGGTTTGCTGCTCATAGGAGTGTTTGGTTACATAAGAGAGGTTACAATTGTTCATCGTTGTCTATAATAAAATATATTTTCATTTTCTCCACTAATTATATTTTTAATTGCAGGTCTTTCACTAAGAATTAATTTATATTTTGTTCGGTGAATCATCCTATCGAAGGCAAGCAATAACAATCGTTGCATATAAAGTGTAATGTTTTTTAAAGGTAATTTGCGTAAAATTTTATTAGTTATGGACCTTCTTTTGAGTTATTTTTGGTTCTTTTTCTGAAACTTGGTTCAATGGTATTCTGTGATATATCTTAATTATGCATCAAAAGCTGGTTATTAGAAGTTGCTGGCGTTCAATGTCATACATGGTTTGACTTAACTATTGTTGGTAGAATGATTATTAAAGAACGAAAATGTGATTCTACATTTTACACAAATCAACTAAATGCATAAATACATCTTTGTCCTGTCTTGGCAACCACAGTCTAGGTAATCTCTTATTATTCTTTTTTAAATACTACATTGAAATTCACTACTATCAGGTATGCCATAAAACTTAATGAAATTTCAACTCCGATTTCTAATATGGTTTTTACATGTGGCAGTCTGGCAGATCTTGTAACAGTAAAAATTATCTCCCATAGGATAGAAATTTTAAGTGATATTTGTCTTGTAACAGTAAAAATTACCGTGTACATAGATAAACTTATAATGATATGAGAAAATATAGAAATGTTATGTAGTACGCTTGTTTCAAATTAAACGAACCTTTTGAGTAATAATCTTATAAAAAAGTGGTCTCACGTTCTCAGAAAATTAGACCCGTCTCAAATAAACGTAACCCTATATATATATATATATATATATATATATATATATTATATATATATATATATATATATAGCTAGGTTCATTTGTTTAAAGTAATTATTGTGTTATTGTATGCATGAATATGGGCCAATTAAAATTAAATAAAAATTTAAATAATTAAATAAATAAATAAGGGTAATTTAGTAATTTGCTTAGTAACTTCCAAAAATAATCCCTATAATCATGGTATATACCTAAATAAATACGCGTGGTCCCCTTTCAATTTCATCTCCGCTCATCACAATTTAACCAAATCGATCGTCGAAAACGGAAATCAGGTATTTCGATCGAACACGTAAACTCGAGCAATTCATCAGGTATTTCGATCGAACATTGATTTCCAATATGCGAGCACAAGCGCCTATTTTAGGGTTGTTGGATATTGTGATGACGTATTTTGTTTGAGCGATGACTTATTTGATTCCATGTCTAAGGTTATTCTCTGGAACCCGTCGATCAGAAAATCCAGAAGAGGATTATGGGGATTGTTTGTCGGATTTGATCCTGTTCGGATGTGAGGTGCGAAGGCAGGGGATTCGGATAATAGGTTGCAATGGGAAGATGCCAGAAAAGGGTTCAGTAGAACAAGGTTCAACCTATTCCGTTTTATTCTTCAATCCCCCTTTTCTTCTCTCGCAATCGATTATTTTGTAGATATTCCTCTTTATCTCTCTCTCTCTGTAAGTATTTTTGCGCGCACACCCACCACCACGGTGGTTTGCCATTGTATGTTGGAAGAGAAACGAAGATATGGTTTGATTTTCCTGATTTGAACAAAAGCTAGGGTGTGTGTGTGTGTTTGTTGGACTTCTATGTTGCTATGTTGTTGTTTGGACGTGTCTATGTTGCTATGGTTGCTTTGTTGCGTGTTCTACTGGTGCTTTGCTGTGTTTTAGGGGGTCTGGACGATTTTACCCCTATGCTCTTTTACAGTTGTGGCATTTTTTTTTGCAGTGGTTGTTGTTGGTGATTTTGGTTTTGCCTCTGTTGCTTTCATGCTATGTTCTAAGTGGTTTTATAGTTGGGATGCTGAAGGCTGAAAACCTGTTTGATTCACGTCCCATACAGATTAAGGAAACCATTCCGCAAGTTCCACACTAAGCTTGTTAGAGAACTCGAAAAGAAGTTCAGTGGAAAGGTATTTCATATTTACAACACCCCTGTTGTCTTTCTTGAAAACCAAACTCATATAATCATTTAAAAATTTCATTTTTGGTTGCAGAATGTTATTGTGATTGCAACCCGAAGGATTGTTAGGCCACCAAAGAAAGGCTCAGCAGCCACCCGAAGGATTGTGATTCCAATTCTGTTGGAATGGAATGACGAATTCCAAGTCTGTTGGAATCACAGAAGTTGATGCTTGAAGAATGGACCACATTATTCTTTTAGAATGTATTAGTCGTTGTTAGATTTTGATGTTTTCTTCCCCGTTGTGATTGTTTTTTAGTTTTATTCTTTAACAATAAATGTAATTCTTAACAATTTTTACCCGTATTTTATAAGAAATAATGTATTTTTTGTTTTTATTTTTCAATTGATTGTTCAAGATTTTGGTATTCTACAAGAAGTTGATATTCTTCAAGAAGTTTTTAAAGTCATCATCAAGAAATAGGTTCAAGAATATTTTTATTATTTATGCTTCAAGAATATTTTTATTTTTGAATATACTCATAAACATATTCTGTCAGAATGTCCGAATTAAAAGATTTATAATTCGTAAAATCGGATTTTTAAAATTAATAGAATCTATGATCCCTTAAAAAATGCAATTTTCCTTTATTAAATCTATATTAATTGACTAAATTACCCTTGTAATTAATTATGATGATTTTTTCAATTATATTTAATTCAATAATATATATTAATCACTTTCTTTAAATAAGTATATTTGGTTGGCCCACATTTATGCATACAATAACACAATAATTACTTTAAACAAAACTAGGTGTGAAACCCCGCTCCGCGGGGTTCGGTTAAGACCAGGGTTTTACTCTTTTGTTTATCGGTTATGTATGTTGTATAGTGACAGGTAATGTCTGGTTGGTCATTGTGTTTGTTAGTATGCAGTAGCAACAACAATACATTGCACCAAACACTACAGTTGCAACATAAGATGTCATTTAACCAGAAATGAGAACTTCCCGTGTTGGCATTTGGCAATCAAAACTTGCCAGGTTATTATTTGATGTTAACCTATACTTTATTTTCTCCCTCTTCTTACATTCTCGCATTTGCTTCATCTATAGCTATAGATTCTGTATGAGGATCATGGTCATCGGAATTGGAATCGGAATCCAATTCCAAATCTGAACCTGACCCCTTAACTGTAAACAAACAAAACCAACCGAAAAAAAACTAAGAATAATGGGATGGATATATAACTATATGATTTGAACAATGGAACATAACATATTAAAGTGGAAGATTGCTTTTTTAGAAAATTAAAGAGGTTCCATTATGTTAAATTATCAGCAAGATTAATACACACTGCACACATACAAATTACGTTGATTGATAATGATATCTTCTTGAAAACAATACTTGTCCCAGATCCTTACAACCCAAAAAGAATAAACTTCTGCATTCTTCTTGAAAACAGTACTTGTCCCAGATCCTTCCACCTTTGGTAGCCCATCTATTAGCAAACAATATGACAACTAAAAATGAAATTAGAATGACCAAAAACATGAAACAAATTGTTGGATTACGAATTATAGGTTAGTAGAACATAAAAATATTAGAAAAATTATAAAATAACCAATTTTTTAGGGAATATAGTAGAAAAAAAGGGTATCACGTCAAGAAACTGAAATTGAAACATGTAACAAACAATAAGTACCAGTTACCACCCATTGTCTATATCCACTGAGACAACACTCAAACTTGTCAAATATTAAATCGTTTTCATATAAATCACACAACTGAAGAAAATATAAAGAAAGAGCTGACCTTATTTTGAATATGAAATTTGTAAAGTTGTTAAAAGGTTTATAATTAATTACCTTGGGTCTCAAATGTTCATGCACTTGGAAACATAGGCCAGGACCCATATTTATATCCCAGAGCTAACCACACATAATTAAAAACAAAATAGTTATGGAAGAATATATACAAATGAAATATTTTTATAAAAAAAGTACCTTATGTGTCATGTAGTTGCAACTCGGTATATACCTCATCCCCATTGCAAACTTTATATCAGAAATTGAGGAAATAATGTATGTGAAAGAAGATCCTGAACCTTGAGGTTCATGTTGTTCAAATCTGTAACAGTAAATGAATAATAAGAAATATAAATGAAAGAAAGTTGATTAGTAGAAAATTCAAAATTTGTATTTACTTACAAATTGGCTATGATTGTCACATAAACCTGATTGCCTCAAATCAAGAAGCCTTCCCTTTTGAGCTGCTATATGCCAACATATTACAATGCGAAGGATGAAACTCTGTTGAAGTTATAACCTCTGAAACAAACAGATATAAACAATTGTTAGCAATTTTGAAAATATTATAATTTACTTTTTAATTTGAAGAAAAAATACTATTACCATATGAACAAAAGTCAATTAAGCTAAGAACATGAATTGGAAATAAGAAATAAAAACAGTTTTGTGTATAGAGAGAAAGCAAGAGAAATTGGTGGACTGCTTTCGAAGAGAGCTGCAAGTAAAATGAAAAAATCATCAACATCAATTAAAATACTATCTCAAATCACGTAGTGAAATTAATCCAGAATGAACTCATAATAAACATCAAAAAATGGTGGAGACTACTAATTTGAAATGGAAAACAAAATTCACCTCTGCGCTTCTTCTGGCACCTTTGCATCACCTCTAAACCGAAAGTGATTACATCTACAGAGGTACATCAAGGGTCCAATAAAAGTATAAAATGAAGTTCATTGAAGCAAATGTCAAACACTTGGCGTGCTTACCAGAAATTTAATGATGTTGGGAAAGGAACATACCACCCATCAGAAGCAAAACCATAGACTGCTACAGTGAAAATCAACTCATATGCAAAATTGATTCCACTGCCAATAACACATTCAGACACATATTAAGTTTATGCATTTTAAAAGAACAAAATAGTAGATTTTAGCAGATAAAAAAGTTTACCTCTTCTTGGTTGTTGTTGTTAGGTTGTAGCGCTTCAGAGCCCCATCGATGTAATCCTTGTATGGCTAGTAAATGATGAATGGAAGCTGGGATACACTTTAGATCAACATAAATTGGGAGTAAAATAGCCTAACTGTTTTCAGCTATGCTCATCCGACTTCGACAGGTCAACGTGTTATTGGAGATTGAGGGTTTAGAAATGATGAAATCGGTCAACAAAAACCTATGAAATCATGGAGGAAGATGGTCAGGCGAGGAGAGGAAATGAAATTTATGTAAATACCCAATAAGACGTGAAATCATACAAAGAAATTTATATAGAGTAACTGAAATAAAACTTAACTGAGACCACCGGTAGTTAGATTGTTTATGGAAGCTGGCAAAGGTCTGCTTTATGATGGATATCGATTGCACGCACAAAAATTGAAGCATTGGCTCTGAAATCAAACTCAAAACGTTACATATAGACAGATCGAAAGTCATCTCCATCCCCTGTTCTTCTGTAATACACCAGCAAAAAAATAAAAAGAAGAAGAAGATAAAAGAGGAGGGCAATCGATTAAAAAAACAGGAAGATCTGGTTTTAAGTGTGGTACCTGCTATTCTTGGTGGTGTCGATCGAACTGAAACTTACGATCAAAAATATGGCCGGTAACAAACCCTCGTCGGACGGTGGTGAGAACGAACAAAATCGTCGACTTCTACTGTGCCGGATAGTGAACCAACGCATCTGCTAAACATCGCACATTTGACGAAAACATACTACACCTCCTGATGGGTTAACGTCTCTGAACTCCAGATCTCCACACAAAGGGCCTTTGAAGATGGTCGACGATCTAATTGGAAAACGAAGGCAACGACTCCGTGATGTAGTCTCAAAAGAAGAAAGAGGCAAGACGGTCTTAGCGGGCTAGATAGGGGATGGAGCGGAAGATACTGGATAAGGAGGCGGTGTGATATTTTAGGTATGGAAGTCTCTGGAGACTGATAGAGATAAGACCAAGAAGAAATAGCAAAGCAGACGCAACACGTGTCCACAAAAATATGGTATGACAGAAAATAACCCTAAAGACGAATTTAAACATATATCCATAGACAGAGGACCATTTTTGCCAAAAATCTACCAGTTTACTATTCATGTTGAAGACAAGTAAATATATATATATATATATAATATATATATATATATATATATATAATAGCTAAGCCTAGATATATCTATAGATATAATATATAATATATATATCTATATATATGCTTAGGTTATTCTATTCAAAGTAATTATTGTGTTATTGTATGCATAAATGTGGGTCAATCATTTTATTTATTTTAAGAAAGTGATTTACCTATATTATTAAATAAAAGAAAAATAGAATAATGTCATTTAATTAAAAGAAGGGTAAGATTGTTACATTGCATTGCCTTAAAATTAGGAAACCCCACATTTAAAAAAACAAACTTTCAGATTTTAATCGATTTTTGATTATCTTAATTTTTGAATTTTGATTTTTTTTAAATTAATTTAGTTTAAATAATTCTAACATAATTTTTAATCATACCCGGTTTTATTTTGTCAGAATGACATTCTTTTTATAATGATATTCTATGAAAATGCAAGCCATAAACTAATAAAGAGACTTACTTCTTGCAGAATAAACAATTTTTTAGATACAAGTTAAATTTTTTCCATCACATCCTTGAAAAAATAAAAAACTTTATATTTTATTCTATAATAAGAAACACTCCCTAATAACAAACAAATATAAGTATGTAGATTATTCTATTGAATATACTATTACATATACTCTTATCATTATATTATAGATTAATCTAACAGAATATGACAATGAGTAGTGTATTTTTCTGGAAGATCGGTGACCATTGAGGATTGTTCATGTCTATCCCACACGCATTCATCCAACCTTCGGGTCATTGATCATGATGTACTTCATTCATTCTATGAGAATAACTGTCATGAAAATGAATTATGTAAGAATAAAACTATGTGAAAATGCTTTTATACGACAAAAATAAAACAAATTTTAGTAATTCTAAGAGAACTCATACTACATGATAAAATCAAGTAACACAAATAACGAACTCATAAATTATTTTTGTGTTCTTCAAGAATTTGAACATCAAGTTCTCTTTCAGACATTTCTACAAACACCTGGTGTGCAATATTCTCATAGAATTATTTTTGTGTTCTTTAAGATTTCTGAACCGCCATGACTTGTTAGAATCACATAATTACTGTTCACGAGAAATATTTCCATGAAAAGAAATAAAAAAAAGAAGATGAAAATACTTACAAGTAAAATGCAAATTGTAAGCATGTTCTATTATCATACAAGAAATATTTCTACTGTCCACACCA